CTTTAAATCCGTATAGCTGCTGGGCTTTGCTGATGACATCGACATCATCGCTCGTTAGCGACGAGCGATCGTCGAAGTCTTTGCGCAGATTGATGAGGAAGCAAAAAAAGTGGGTCTATAATATAATTTTGAGGTAGTTAAAGAGTTCATTTACCTGGGAACCAATGTAAACTCTGCCAATGACATCGGTGTGGAGGTGCGATGCAGAATAGCTCTGGCGAACCGCTGCTACTTCGGCTGCTACAAAACTCCTGTCTTGAACGTTATCTAGGACAAGTTCAAGTCTTGGACATTGTCTAGGACAAGTGAGCAGTGCCTTGTTGTTTTTGAGCCGAAAATTCTTCGTCGCATATTTGGTCCTGTAAATGAGCGAAGGGTCTGGAGGTCGAGATATAACACCAAACTCTACGAGCTGTACCAGGACATGAATGTAATCAGCAAAATGAAAATCAAGTGGCTACGTTGGCTGGGCCACCTCACACGAATGTCCGAAGACACCCCAGCAAGTTTTTTAGTTCGGACCCGAGGTAACAAGACTGGATTTGGAAGAATTTGGAAAAATTGAGTATCTTCAACTGGAGGAGAGCCGCCCAGGACCGCGGTGGATGGAAGAAAATGTGAGCCAGGTTCAGCACCTTAATGGTCTGTAAGCCCTAGTAAGTAAGTAGGTATTTCTAGTACTAGTTACAGAAAATGAAATTATTTAGATTGCTACAAGTTGAATTTAGCAATTGATACGCATTATCAAAAAATCGTTCAGAATGCTTGAAAAAAGCTATAATTGAGCCAATTTATAAGGGGTTGCAAAAAAAGACTGCGGTAATTGTACGCCAATAGCAATTCTAAAATCCTTAAAAATAAAAAAAAAATTCGTAACTTTGTTCAATCAATTGTCACGTTTTGACAAAAACTAATATGGTTTTACAGAAAAAAGTGGTCACGATTCTGCAGTTTCAGTAACCCTAGGTCATGTTTATGATGCTTTAGAAGAAGGTTATTACGTTTTTTACGGATATTTTCTTAATTTAAGTAAATTAACTTTTTAATTTTAGTAGCCTTGTGGAATCATAGTCGTCTTCTTAGCTTTCTTGAAAGTTTCAAATTGTAATATGGAATCAAAGTACACAATATATTCTGATGACATAAGCCTCATAGCAAAATCAAAAACTTTGAGTGAATTAGAAAAAAAAGTAAATAAGGATTAAAATTTTAAGTGTAGTTCCTAGGGCTAGTCAGAAATAATTTTAATAAGTAATTGAATCTTAATTTTCAATATTACATTAAAGTAAATTGTGTAAATCATTATTTAACAGCACATTTGGTACATTACGAAAATTTGACAAGAGCTTTAATCGGAAATTTTAAGAACCATGATCGAAATAGCAGCGCAAACCTCTCGGTAGCCATCACTTACGCGTTTTTAGCCTATAAATTAATTATTATCCTTGAAATTCTCATTAAAATCAATAAAATTTTTGCATTTCTTAAATATTTATGAAAAATTTTAAACAACATTTTTTTTAAAACTTAAAAATTAAATTTTTTTCCATGAAATCTCAATAGATATTCCTTTGTTCTACTTAAAATACAAAATAATTATAACAATATACTTATGCAAATTTAAAAATATTACAATGCATTGCACACGCACATGTGTATGAGATAAGTGAAGGTACATAAATTTGTTCCATTTGTTTTTACCTCACACATAATTTCTCCTGTTATATAATTAACATTCTCCTTTTTCTATTGTAATAATATTGTTTGTTTTAACTGTGGCATTATTATTATTGCTATATTGTGTAGAACAGTGTAGAAATTTATTTTTTTTTTGTTTGAATTAAAATTATCAAAGTGGAACGCAAATATAATATGTAGGTACTATTTCTAGATTCATTCATAATATAGTAGATAGGTACACATATATAGATGCATGGGTAGAATATACAATAAGTGTATATGTTAATGAATGTAATGTTATCTTTTTTCAGTTTACCTAACATTAATTAAAATTGACGTAAGTCACATATACATGCTATTGTCAATTATAAATTAATTTGTCTTATGCGCCAAATTATTGAATTTCAAAGTTATGACTCAAATAAATGCACTTCATGTGATATTTTGTCTTAATATAGTAATGTTTCTTTTGCGTGAAATTTAAGCTCTTTTTAATGTTGTCGAATCGGATTCTAGCAACAATTCATTTATCACGTCTTTTTGGCGCACGAGTACATATATATACAATTTCGAAATTCCATTTCTGTTCAGATTACAATTGAGTAGTCGAACTTAATTAATATCACAAAACTTTTAAAATTATTGAATTTTTTGCCTGAATTAGGTAATGTAGCAGAAATTTTCACCCCTATTTTACCTCAACTATATATATTTGAACACATTTCTTTTATATATGAAAAATTTCTCGAAATAACTCTTTCCACTCATTTACAATATTACGATTATTTTGAATTATACGTGCTTTAGAATCGGTTTCATTCGAAACTATCATAGTAGTTTAGTTTTATTGTAGTTTAAATCTTTATCAGCTTTATCATGTTTAATATTTTTGTTAGAGTGAATGTAATGGCATATATAATTAAATATTCTACGTAAAATTATAAACTAATTTATACGACCTTGTATGTAGTTCCAAAAAAATAATTTAAATTTTTAAGTTTATAATAAATTTTATTTAACAAAATTAGTCCCTAGAGTTATTATTCATTAAATAAATTTTCTATGTACATTTGTATATACTTATAGGCTCCAATTATGATAGCAAAACACGTAATTATAATTTTTTTTTTAGTTAAATTAAATTTATTTTTATGAACATGATAATTTTTTACAAATTTTTACATTTTGCTGTATTTAAAAGCAATGGTCCTTAATAAGAATGCATACAAAATTATTTTTGAACCAGACTTTTTAACTGTTGGATCACGTAAATAGCCTCAACCTACAATTCATTTTATTGAAATCAAAAAGCTATTAATAAATGTCATTTATTTTAAAATAAATTACTGTCATACTAGTTACTGTCACTAGTAATTATAATCATATAGAATTTATATTATTTATGTTAATATTTTATTATGTAAAATGTAATTTTGATTGATCAAGTAGGTACGAGTATATTGTAAATGACACAAAATTTTCAGAATGGAAGTGTAAACAGTTACAGCTTTCTCATCTTCTCCTCCCCCACAATTTGTTTGTTATATTATGTTACCGTCTTTGCTTTTTTTAATTTTTAAAATACTAGGATTGTTTTTTTTATTTAAGACGAAATTTTTGGAATAAAATCTTTGCAAATATTTTTAGCCCATACTAATATATAATATGTATATTAAAAAAATAAATTCCTAATACCAAAGAATTTTCAATAAAAATAAGGCCAGTTTCCAAAAATTTCCCATAAAATGTTATTTCAGTTTCTGTACAAAATAGTTTCCTTTATAATCGCCTCCAAAAACTTTAATATTTTTCATTGTTTGTTTCAGATTTTTCATTACAAGCGCTACCATTTTCTTAATATGGGTTACCCCTTAATCAAGTTATAATTTTGGAGGCTGTAATCAATACGAGTTGAACTTCATAAAGAAAGGAAAAGTGCATATATACTTAATCTAATTAAGTTTCCTAATCTTCTTATACAATTTCGTTGCTTCCTATTTGTTTATTTATGAAATTTTACAATATCTTACTCCTTTTCTGTCATTTAAAATTAGATAATAAATTTTTATAAGAGTAAGATCAAACGCAAGTGTATAACAAATTAGAAATTTTTTCGTAAAATGTCATTCTTTCTCCTTTAATTTTTAAAATTATCCTTATATTATACAATATTGTTCAGTATACTTTAAGGACCTTTCTGAAATTATTTAATAACAAAAAATAAAAAATACTTTTACATCATCGTCCTATACGTATGTACTTTTTTATTTTGACAAAGAAAACAAGAACAAAACAAAAAAATTATATTTAACCTTCTATCCTTTTTTAAATAATTGTAAAAATTTTGCATTTGTAGTAGTATAAAATGTATAAATAGACACTATTATTAATAGCAAACAGTAAAATAACAAAAAAAAACAGTAATTTTAAAAGTTTCATGGATTTTAATGTAGAGGGAGTGTGTGTGAATAGAAGAAAAACAATACGAAAAGGAGGAACACAAAATAAAAATAAAAAAATTGAAGTTAAAAAAGTATTAAAAGCGAGTAATCCCTAAGGACATTTGTGTTCATTCTTTCAAGTTTTTGTTCTACATTTTTAGTTCTGTTTTTTTTTTGTTTCTATTTTTTGCATATTATGTATTTTTTTTTTTAATAATATTGTATGGAATAATAAAAGTAACTCTACTATTTTCTACCAACTTTTGTTAACTCTTACCGAATACAATAGGTAAGCAAACAAAACATTATGATGACGTCTTAAAAATTCGAAAAAAACAAAAAAATTACATAAAAAGAATATTTAAATGCACGTGTATAAAAGTCTAAACCCCCCCCCCCCCCCTCATAATACTCGTATAATCAAAAATATAAAATGTCACTCTATTGGGTATAACACTTTGTCATAAAAATGTCGCGCTTATGCGAACTTGTACATTGAATGAAATTTTCAATTTCGATAAGGTTAGAGAAGAATACAATCAATTTTCACTTATAAGGCAATATTGATGTGTGTATACAAAATGTTCACAAAAATATTTCGAATTTCTACAAATGTTATAGGGCACTAAGAAGCAATACATATATATATAATATTTAATTTTTAAGTTTCTTTTGAAATTTGATATTCTTGGATTATTATTTGAGTTTGTTTTTGTGGTAAATTGAATATTTACTTGTATAATAGTTTGTATATAGATATTTGAGTACATTGTACCCGCAAATTGAAAATTATAATATTAGTAGTAGAAAAATTTAAAAGTATTGACACGTTTTTAATTAAAAATAAATCGTGAGATTAACTTACACTTACACACATTTGTATAGTAATCCTCATTTTTTTTTTTGTATATTATTTTAGTTTATAGTTGATGAATTTTTGTATTGTAATTCTGCCCTTATGAAATACTTGAAGACTTTTGCAGGTAATTGTTATAAGGCGCATAATTTATATACATTCGATTCGCATGGTCTCCGGGACTTAAAAGTATATTCGAGTTATACATCTATGTGGTTTGAGTTGAACTTTCCAAATTTTCTCTATTTTTTATATATCTCGAATTATCGAAAAAATGTTCAGTAAAAGACCACACTTTGAGGTGTGATAACTAAAAAAAGAAGAATGAAAATATTAAAATGTTTTAGGATTATTTCCAAAATTGTAATTTGTAACAAAATTTTGTAAAATCTAATTTTAAACTTAAGTGATTGTGGTAAATAAAGATGTTGTGGGTTGCCTAAATTATTTCCATTAAAACTTGATTAATTCGAAATTAATGTGGGTGTACTTTTTTTTAAACAAGCGATTTATTTAATTGACTTTAAATGTTAAAGATCAATATCTACTAATCTGAGTAAATATAATTATATGAGTATATAATGAGTACATTTAGGTAGACTATACTTGCCATTTAGAATTTATCAAAATTCATAGAGAATTTCGGTTAAGTGGTGACAATTATCAAGTATCATCTCTTGGCAACATTCTTTCTTGTACGTTTACTGTTTTGAATTATTTAATTTTTAAAATTAGCATTTGACATTGATAATAAGACGGAAAGAAAGAGAATATTATAAACTTACAAGGATAAATTTTAAAAATCCTTGATTTTTCTTTATAATATTTTAACAAATTATTAAACACTCTTTTAAATATTAAAAAACAAATGTATATACACATATACAAGAGTGTAAAAAATACTCCTACTTATTAGTATGTTCTTGTGCTATTGAAAGTAATGAAAAATAATTTTAATTAATGCGAGACTTTATGAAGCATACAAACATTTATGATTCCGGAATATTCTAATTTTTGTATTATTACATTTTGATGTTTAATTATTAAATTGTAGAAATTTGTTAAAGGAATGTGAAATAGTGCTTTAATAAATTTTTAAACAGTGTAATTTTTGTATAACAGTTTAATATTTTGATACTCTGTATAAATGTTTTAATATAAACGTACAGCAATTATATTGTGTTCTTTTTATTCAACGAATATGAAGAATAACTTTCTGTATTTTCGGAAATGTTGACATGAATGTAACCTTGACATAAATATAACAGTTTGTGAATTGAGAAGAATTGTAAGGATTAATTCTATTCGAAGTCACAATATTAAGTGAAAATTTCTGAAATTTATAATTTTCATAGATTTATCATACCGAAATTTTAAAATTAGCACTTCTATTTCTCTTCCAACTCTCTCTTTTTTACTGTTTATTTCCTGTTCAGAATCCCATAAGAACTTGCTGTAATATTTATTTGTGGCCGTAACACTAAAAACAGAAAATTTATAAAAATGAAAATTGTATAAGCAAGAGTCGTGCTTATTTGCATGCGAGTACTCTTTTTTTACCCATAATCAATTCTACAAAGAACCCTATATAACTCTTTCGAAATTATGCAAATTTAAGATTGTGCAGTCCAGATAAGTCTTAAAACTCAACTAAAATTAATTATAAAAATCGCAACAAAATCCATATTTGTAAAATTTCAAATACCGTTTAATGACAATGGCATTGACTTACAAATACAAATTATAAATGATTATGTACATACACACACATAAATAGTAGAATTATTATTAAGTATTTTCTTTTTCAAATTATATTGACAATAATTCTATTTTTTCAAAGAGATTCACTTGAAAATTGTGCATTGAAAATAAAAAGTGCTTTCGGGTCAACTAGAATTATGTCAATTAATTGAAAATTCTTAAGAAGTCAAATAAAAATTATTTTATTTTGCCTTTGATTTTGCACGCTAAACAAAAGTCTATATAGGCACCGGGAAAAAAATTCTTTAGTAACGATAATACAAAAAAAAAAAAAAGAATTGCTGAGATGTAGATTTCAATAATCGTACAAAATACAAAGCAACTAGACTTAATCCACTTAAATTTTCTGTTTAAAAATAAAATTATTTTCAAAAGAAAAAAAAAAAAACAAATTGTTTTCTTTTTTTTTTTTTGCTTTTGTAATTGAAAATCGTCACAATTGAGAAAAAAAAAATTATTTAAAATTCAAAAAAATGTGAAAAAAAATTTTTCAGCCTATTTTAACCAAAGTTTAAAAATTGAGTTCCGCCTGTTTGTCTTTTCATTTTTGTTTTTGCCTTATTTGTTCACATCTTTCGTATTCATACGGAATTGAAAAAACATTGAAAATTGTTTTATGGCAATAAACTGTTAGGGTTTTCGTGTTTGCATATTTGACCTCCTTGTTTTTGTGGTTAATAATCATATTTTTGTATATTTTGCTCTAATTTAATATTTTTATATGGCATTCAGTTTAGAATAGCTTTTCTTTTTCGAAATTTATTGCAAGTTAGTAAGTCTGGAAGATAAAGAACAAAAATATGGTAAATTAAAAAAATTGCACACTTCTAGGCCAAATAATCATAAAGCACTGTTGCGGTTAAAATGTTAACATAAATTGAGGTTACTGTCCAAACCTTAAAAAATTAATAAAATTTCTATTAATGGAGTAAAAGCAGAAATATATAAATACAAAATTGCATATATTTAGGCACGCAAAAATTAAAATACAGAACATCTCTTCCAAACTAAAGGTTATCTTTAATTTTTTCATTTTTAGGAGCTCATCTACAAAATAAATAGGTTTCTGAAGCTCTGGCAGATTATTCTAGGAAAATTTTAAGCAACACATGCGTGAGCTTTATTATACAAGTCACCAATAATTGGTAATTTTTCATTACTTACACAAATTACATAACGGTTTCGCAGACAATCTTTCTTTATATAAGTAATAATAATTAAATATCAAAGGAAATTGTGTTATAGAAGTACTTAATTACGATTATTATACTTTAATAATGACAACAATTAAAACATTGACATTGACAATTATTGTCATGATGACATATCGATGAACAATTTGGCAACATTAAATTTAAAAATATTTCTTTTCTACACGAAGTTTTCTTTTGAAATACCCTAAACTTTTTTTGTTTAATAAATAATATGAATTCCTGTTTACTGTTATCGTTAAAACGGTAAAAATATTGTTTTTGTTTTTTACAATGCTCTTTTTAAATTATTTCTTTTTCTTTTGTATTAAAACAACATTTTTTTTTCTCTCTCTTTCATTTCTTTTGGAACAATTTAATTGAACGTTATATAAATAACAGAAGTATATTGACATAACAACTACAATTACGTATTATTTTATTACCTACCTATACAACTATATAAATACATTTATAGAGTGGCTATATATACACATATTTAATATTGATGTACAAGTACACATCAATCAACGCTATATTTGTATGGGCATCTACATTTTTGGGCCTAGATTTACTTCTACTTGTATGTGTGTACGTGAGTGTGTTGTGTATTGTCAAAAAAGTTGTTATCAATCTTTATTTTTTTTCTTTTTATTTTTTTTTTTGTGTTTTATATTATAAGAAGATTAATTGGTTACAGAATCCTATCAAACAATTACAATTGTTTGGTACTTTTTTTTTTATAAAAAAAAAACAGGAAATTTTTCTTATATTTTTTTTTTTTAAGTAAATTTTAAATTTAGGGTAATGAGGAGCGAAAATTTTTGTAAATTTATAAAAATATGGATTTGCATGTTAAATCAAATTTAGAATTTTTTTCTGTGATGTTTATTTGATAAATTGACTAATTTATAACAGAATTTAATTGGATATTTGGGAAACTTATATAAATTGCTAACAAAAATTTTGACCAATTTAAAAATAATAAATTGTTTTTTTTTGCAAAATTTTTTTGCATATCAAATATTTTAGGGGTAGTACACTGAGGAAAAGTACACTGAATATAGTACATTGGTCCTTTTTTCTCTCATTTTATTTGTATAAGAGAAACTGTAAAATTAAAAGCGTCGGTTCTAATATACCAAGACCTCCATTTTGCAAATAAAGCATACCGTATAATCATAGCCATATAATCCAAGTTGCAAACCTAAAAATGTTAACAATGCCATTCAAATTCGATTGTTTCTGAAATGGCTAAAGAAAATAAGCGATAGTTTTAGTGAAATTTACAATCTTGGGTATTCTTATACCATTCTCATTCAATTTTAATATTGACACTGATGTCAAACTTTTCTCTTTTCGTAATTTTAGGCTTTTTGAAATTATATAAGTTTTTGAAGACTCATCAAAATTATTGAAAACGATATTTTTCTACGATATCGTATCTTCGATACGACGAATTGAAAAACGCAAACTGTCAAAAAGAAATAATATGACAATAATAACCAATGACGTAAGTAAAAAAGCTCAAATCCGGATTCAAAATGCAAATTTCAAGCAATGCTTTCCAAATTCCTTTGCAAGCGTTTTCCAAATTTTACGATTATATTTACACTTCAGATATCACGGATATTGAACAGGTAAATGTAAATCGGCAAAACCTCACAAATTTTAATTTATTTCTATCGACACCATGTACCCTACATGTACTTGAAAAACATTTTACGTTCCCTAGAATTTAAGGAAAAAGTGTAAAAAAAAAACATGAACATTACATTGAAAACGTCTATAGGTATACAATAAAAATAATGAAAACAATAATGGAATGAATAAAAACAAAGATAATAAAAGAGAGAACAAAAAAAAAAAAGAAAATTGTTAAAGAAATTGACAGAGAGTTGTTATTGAAGAGAGGTGGAAAATGAGTTTGAGTTTGTGGGAGTCAAAGAATAGGCGAAAAAAAATCTTATATTAGAGAAAAGTAGAGAAGGGAGAATGAGAAAAAAAAAAGTGATTCTAACATTTTATACAATATGAAAAACGATAACAAAAGACAATTTTCATTTTGAAGGTCAATAAAAATACCATTTTTATTTTAGATCCTTTCTAAGATTCAAGAAAAAGATTTGTTTTTATAAAAAAATTTTTTTTTCTTCTATTTTACTACATTATGGGTTGCTTACAATACAGAAAATCTATTTTGCTGTGTAAAATATAAAAAAAAAAAATTATTACAGAAATGGGAAAAAAAATTCTTATTTCATATTATTTTTTTTTTTTCATATTTTTATTTTAACCTTTTTTAAGTCATTGTCCTTTAAGTTGCAATACACATATATATATATATGTATACACATACATTTACATGCATATATTCAGAATGCCTATTCAATAGTTTATATTTTTAAAACGAGGGGAATGAATGTATTGTACTCGTATATTATATAAGAATATTTTATTCAGTACACACTTATATATTCGCATATAACATTTAAAAAATTATAGTAAAATATATTTTGAATATGTGCATGTACAAATGCATTAATCCTCTTGTATTTATGTAAATCTATATATATATATTCGAATATATACTTCAGGCAGAATAATTTAAGATGGAGAGATCAAAATTATTTATTCAGTATTAAATTCAAAATATACAACAAGAAAAGAAGAGTAAACATGATATTTTTATTATTATTATTATTGGGTATTGTGTATAACAGTTGTGTGAAAATAGTACACACGAAATAATATTAAAATTACAAGGGTATTATGAGTTGTAATTGTTTTTTTTTGTGATAGATTGAAAATTGTGCTTGAGAAAAGTTTGTAATTTTAAAGTTTAGCTCCCATATGTAATAGCGTATAAAATAGGGCTTAATATATTTTTGAGTTTTTGCTACAATTTTCAATTTAGAGAAATGGGGACTTTTTTGGCTCAAAAAGAAAATGCTTTAAGCACTTATTTCTGTATAAATAACTTAGAAGCCGTATCTTTTGCATTGTGTCACTATAGCAGCAAATGAGGGATGTATTTTTAAAAAATACACTCACACAATTTCTTACATCCCGTTAAAAAGCATAAATTTTCAAGTGAGAAGAGAATATAAGTTTTGAGTGAGACAAAAAGAGAGAGTTTTTTTAATTCCAATATTCGGATTTTGCTATTCACAAAAATGTAAGTAAAATACTCAATAAATTTATTTTTTAGCTCAATAAATGAAAAAAAAAACTCACCCATTGACTAAAAAAATATGGAAGGTATACATTACAAGGCTATTAAAATCAATAAAGTACACATTTCGAATTCTATAGTAGGAAGGTATACACTTCAAAAGAAAAATCGAAAATATTTTTTTTACTTGTATTTTCTCTCGGATATCGTATAAAGCTTTTTTAAATCAAGTAAAAATTTCGATAATTGAGTTTAAGATTTTCTATAATATTTTTATTTTATTTTTTTTTCTATTCTGAAATGAATGAGTGGTGGATAAAAATGTAATCAAGGACGGATTAAATAAAAAGTATGGTGGGTAAGGATAAGAATGTCAGTATTAATATTATTAGTATATAAAAAATTGTATGTATAATTGTATGTATTATTATTATTATGGTTGTTGTATGTATACATACATTTGTACTTGTATATAAAAAGTACAAGTACACTTTTTTAT